GTCGTCTCCCCTTCCGGCCCGGGCTCGGAGCTGGAGCTCCCCGGCCCCGCCTGGCCTCTGCCAAGCGGGGACTTGTGCCCAGAAACCAGTGCGGAATAACCTCCCCCCCCGGGTTTATTTTCCCCTTCGACTTTCTGAGCTGATTTTGTGCACCTGTGGCAACAGTTCGCCAGTCCGTTTGCACACATCTATCACAACTGTAATTATCTAAGAGCTGTTGATTATCAGCATGGATGCCGATGGTAATGCGGGGATATCCAGAGGACAGGTCAGGAGGGGGCCTGGCCTGCCGGGGGTCACGCGGGCAACCAGGAGAAACAAACCCTGGGCCCAATGGCCGGCAGAGCTGGCCCAGCCGTGGCTCTCAGGTGTCCGCAGCTTCCCCGGGACATTGCTGTGCTATGGGTCAGGGAACACACTTTGCCCAGGGACTGGGTGTCGCTTGCTGCCCGACCTTAATGTTAGGGAGAAAATGCTGTCACGGCAAAGACGTGGAGAAGCCGGAATCGCTCAGTTACAAGCAAACCTTTAATGAATTTGGCCTACCTTTAAAAGGTGTTTTTTAGGATAGTATGAAAGGAAATGGCCTCAAGTTGCGCCAAGGGAGGTTTAGATTGGACATTAGGAAAATTTCTTTACTGAGGCTCTCAGGTGTCCGCAGCTTCCCCGGGACATTGCTGTGCTATGGGTCAGGGAACACACTTTGCCCAGGGACTGGGTGTCGCTTGCTGCCCGACCTTAATGTTAGGGAGAAAATGCTGTCACGGCAAAGACGTGGAGAAGCCGGAATCGCTCAATTACAAGCAAACCTTTAATGAATTGGGCCTATCTTTAAAAGGTGTTTTTTCTTAGCTCCACAGCAGTTCCTCAGTCAAGGAGAAGTTGGCAACCTGCGGCAGACTCTGATAGACCGAGTTCCAGAAGTTCACATACTCAGTTTTCAGGTTCTGCTTCACGGAGCTCTTTTTTAGCTTGTTGTTGATGTCCAGGTAGTAACTGCCCTCACTGGTGTAGGGTGGCCAGGTAACGGGCACCTCTGAATACCCTTTGTTGGGATCACTGGGGAAAAAGGAGACACAGAAGTTCAGTTTTCTCAGGGCAGCTTGTGGATGCAGCAAGGTTTGAGTGGTTTGGCAGGGACCCCGTCTGCTCAAGTGAGGCTCTAAGTGAGTGCAAAGAGAGTCTGACATTGGGACAAGCGATGGCAATTCTGCTTGCTAGGAGCGATTTGCCGACCTGCAGCCTGCCCCCTTGGTCCCCGCTAGCATCGTCCCTGGCTGCACGCAGGGGCTTAACTCCTGTCTGAACGCCAGGATTCGGAAACAAACGGCATCATTAAGTTTAAGCAGAGTTCACAAGTTGTGAAAATGCTTCTGCTGTCCCCAGGTGTTCTCTGGATGAGGAGGACCCAGAGCAAAGTCCACCACTGGGAGACACAGAGCCAGGCTCGCAACAGAAGTACAGACAGAGGACACCCTGCTTTTGGGAATTGCTGCTGAGAAGCTAACAGGCAAAAGCAGCAGGTTGAAGTGCTGCAGCAAGCCCCAAGTGTGGAACCGGAATCACTCACCCTGTCCTGGCAAAATTGGTCCAGTAAGCAATCATGGCACTCGAGACAGTCCTGTGCTTGGGCAGGTAGCCCAGGGGGGTGGCGAAGGGTTTCCCAAACACATACTGCAGGTCATCAGCATGGTCTGCCCCTACCCATCTTGGGTAGATGGGCATTCGGGATGGCTGGGAGAACAAGTAGCTGTATGTCTTGGCATTCCTTGGGAAATAAAATAG